TTCTTCATTTACTTTATATTCTTCATTTACTTTATATTCTTCATTTACTTTATATTCTTCATTTACTTTTTATTCTTCATTTACTTTTTATTCTTCATTTACTTTATATTCTTCATGTAGAAATTTTCTTAGTTTGCTTTTTTTAATTCTCTACGTTGTGTGGGTTGAATTTTATAAGATAAACTCCAGGTAAATCTGGGTTCCTAAGTTAGTACTTTACATTTAGGTGTAACCCTGGTACTAAAATCTGAATGATTTATGTGAGGTCTGCAAGGTTTATAAACAGCTCCCCAGCTGTGAATGGTACCTGGAGTAAGGTTTAAACCCGCTCTTGTGAACACAGATAAATATACTCTAAAGTGAGTGTTCTTAGAGTTTTTAAAAATATCTGGGAAACTTAAAATGTCAAATGAAAAGTTCAGAAAAAAACAGAATGAAAACAAACACATTTATAAATACTTCACCAGCTTATGAAAAAGGAAAGGAATTGAGTTTTTGCCACAATCTCAATTTTTTTTATCTCTTATCTTTGCAAACTGATATTTCAAACAGAATTGATAGTTTGAAATATCAAAACTTTTTGATATTGGATTGTAAAGATATGCGGATCAGAAAATAAGAGTTTGATGCAAAAACTCAGTTCGTTCAGATAAAAATGTGAATAATTTACGAAAAAATTTAAGAAATATACTTTGAACTAACTTCTACTACTTAAAACTTTAATCAAACGAAAAAGATGAAAATCCTCGAAAATGTTCTTAAATAGTATTTAGGTGATAACTATGTAAATAAATATATTCAATATCCCGCAGATAAATATACAAATGTTAGAGTCCATAAGGGTTCAATAAATAGATCAGGTGTTCCGGACCCCTCCCCCCACCCCACTCCTCCTCCTGCCCCTCCCTTCCCTCTCCTAGATTCTTCTAACAGATTATGAATCATAGAAAATCATGAAACTTTTAACAAAAAAGTATTTTTATGATTATTCAAACAAACTGCAGAAGAATATCAATTATATGTTTAAAAAGACTGTCGTCTATGTATTTTCTAGGGAACATCAATTTAAAAAAAATGCCATACCCGATTCACAACAGAACCCTTTAATTAAACCTTTATCTGAGTAATAAAGAGTTGATATCTTTGTTTTTCTATCTTTAAAAGAGAACATTTTCTATAATTTCTTTTGTTCTGGACATAGATTCCTTTAAAATTGAAACATCAATATTAAAAACAAAAATATTTTTCAACCATTTTTGACCAAACTTGTCAGTTGTGAGTGTTCCATTGTAAATCGGACATTTAACTCTTTCATTGGAGCTAGGGTCACATTTAGCCAATTTATTTATGTTATTTGTTTATCTATATTTATAAAGTTCCCCCACATCCCTTGTCTATAAACTCTAAAAGTTTTTATCATATCATTTCATTTTTGTTACAATTTAATTTTAAGTTTTAGTTAATAATCATTTTTCATTTTAAGTTTGTAAATACTTAAATAAAAATTTGGTGGTTTTGTTTCACTTAGGATTAGAAGAGTAGGATTAAGGAAGGATTTAAGGATTATAGAAATATAATTCACTTAGGATTATAAGAGTAGGATTAAGGAAGGATTTAAGGATTATAGGAATATGATTCACTTAGGATTAGAAGAGTAGGATTAAGGAAGGATTTAAGGATTATAGGATTATGATTCACTTAGGATTAGAAGAGTAGGATTAATGAAGGATTTAAGGATTATAGGAATATACTTAGGATTAGAAGAGTAGGATTAATGAAGGATTTAAGGATTATAGGAATATGATTCACTTAGGATTAGAAGAGTAGGATTAATGAAGGATTTAAGGATTATAGGAATATAGTTCACTAAGGATTAGAAGAGTAGGATTAAGGAAGGATTTAAGGATTACAGGGATATGAATCACTAAGGATTAGATGAGTAAAAGATTTGGTTCTATGTTTACCTGAATAGAGAAAGATTGACTGGTTCCTCTATCTCCAGGTACAGATATCATCATAGAGCGTGTACTGCTCGGGTTCAGCATCTCCTGATGCTCTAAACCTATACTTCCTTCCCCCATACCCTCACTCAAATCAAAACTAAAGTTCTCTGGTATATATCTGGATAAATCATCAAGGTTGTAGTACAGGACCCCCGTCTCCTCCCCACTTGAGATGGTGGGGATGGTTGTGGTTGTGTATGTGAGGGAAGGGAGGGAGGTAGTGTTTGACATGGTTCTAATATTCCCGGAGCTGGTGATTATCACATTCTCATCTTCTTTCTTTACAAACTCCTCTCCGATCATATCTATGGTTTTGTTCTGGAGTGAGTAGTCGTAGGACTGGTACTCCAGGGTCTCAGCTGCTTCCGTCAGATAGGACGTCATCTTCTCCATGTACCCCTAGACACTGAGGATACAGAAGGTCCTGCAAAGTTTGACAATGTAAAAGTAATAACGGAATGAAACATTCCTGAGTAAAATCCATTTAAATTGAACATTATGGTATGAGTGTAAGATACTTACTGCAATATCGCTTTCATCTACTCGTGTTTATAGTTAACAGTCTTGATCAACATCTTTGCTTTCTATTCGAACCAGTAGTACAAGTGTTAAGAGCCTTTACTCTAGACTTTCCCAGCTTTCACGTACATGAGGCGCCCCGCGACCAACAAAATATTGCTTTCACCTCTCTAGCAGTTTACAAGCAACTGGAAAGCTGGAGAATTCATTTCTCGGCAGATTTGTCCAAGTAGTTCGTAACGAACCATAGAAGGAAGGAGGTGTACTGGGAGCCAGGGCCGGAGCCGGAGTTATTTTTAATGCAGGCTAACCTTAGTTCATTACGCTGGGTCCGTGTTTTAAATCTCCGGGTACGGTATTGGCTCCAGGTCCTGCTTACACCTGCTCTGATTGGTCGGGTAGTCGGAGCTGTAGCTTCCACGGTGCGGGATCCGGTCTGTACACCGAGTATACTGAATAGAGAGAATATATAGATCCGACCCTTCCCTGGCACGCTTCCCGTAACCCCCACCCCCTCTTAGTACCTATACCCCCCTTACCTATACCCATACTTACCTCCCTTCCCTCCCGAATCCCCCCTCCCTTCTTTCCCATGCCATGCATCTCTCATTTATACCCTTCCATATCTATCCCATCCTTCCCATATCTATGTATATATACGTATACCTTCATATACCAATTTATACATATTATACCCTCTTATACCTATATACATATACCTTCCTATACCTATACATAAACCTTCCTATACCTATATACATATACCTTCCTATACAGATACATATACCTTCCTATACCTATACACATATACATTCCTATACCCTTTATACATAAACCTTCCTATAATATTCATATACCTTCCTAGACCTATACATATACCTTCCTATATCTATATTCATATACCTTCCTATTCCTATACATACACCTTTCTATACCTTCCTAATCCTATACATATACCTTCCTATACCTATACATATACCTTCCTATATCTATTCATATAACTTACTATACCTATATACATATACCTTACTATACCTATACATATACCTTCCTATACCTATACATATACCTTCCTCTATACCTATACATATACCATCCTATACCTATATATATACCTTCCTATCCTATACCTATACATATACCTTCCTATACCTATACATATACCTTCCTATACCTATGCACGTACCTTCCTATACCTTCCTATACCTTTACATATACATTCTTATACCTAAACATATACCGTCCTATATCTACACATATACCGTCCTATATCTATCCATATACCTTCCTATACCTATACATATACCTTCCAATACCTATGCATATACCTTCCAATACCTATATATATACCTTCCTATACCTATACATATACCTTTCTATACCTATACATATACCATCCTATACCTATATATATACCTTCCTATAACCTTCCCCCAACCTCAGTTTTAAAGCAGCGTGCCATTTCCAAGTCATTGCACTTGAAATCCCCCTCCTATACCTCCTATACATATGCTACATACAACTTCTGTATGTTAGGATATACCTAACATTTTCATATTTGCCTTTAATTAAAGGAACTGTTAGTGTTATTTTAACTGACCCTCCATGCAAATATAGCAATGCTCAATTTACAACAATATCCTTGAAAACTGAATCCGATAGAAAATTCGGAAGAAAACGTCGTTTTTTTCGACTCGGAAAGTGTTCAACTCTGATGACTTCTCCAGTCGTTTTTAAACGCTAGAAATGCGCAAATCACTTTTGCAGAGAAAACAAAAATAAAATTAAAAAGTTTTAATAAACTTAAACATGAATATCTAACTCATTCTTGATCAGACAAAGAGTTCAGGGGTATCGTTGTAAATCAGGCATTGCCATTTTTGTAGAGAGGGTCAGGTAAAATTACACTTACAGCCCCTTTAAAGGGTATTTTCATGTGATTTAAAGGGTTATATGGCTGATTCTAAACGACATATCCTTTACACCTTTTCTAAATATTATTTTGCTCGGATACAGGTTTAAAGGCTTCAGTTGTGAATCAGGCATTCCACGTGCAGGCTCTTGTATTGAAAGGGTAACTTGAAATTACGCAAGTCTTGTCTACACTCTACCTATAGTCTACACTCTACCTACAGTCTACACTCTACCTACAGTCTACACTCTACCTACAGTCTACACTCTACCTACAGTCTACACTCTACCTACAGTCTACAATCTACCTACAGTCTGCACTCTACCTACAGTCTGCACTCTACCTACAGTCTACACTCTACCTACAGTCTACACTCTACCTACAGTCTACACTCTACCTACAGTCTACACTCTACCTACAGTCTACACTCTACTTACAGTCTACACTCTACCTACAGTCTACCTACAGTCTACAGTCTACCTACAGTCTTCAATCTACCTACAGTCTACAATCTACCTACAGTCTACAATCTACCTACAGTCTACACTCTACCTACAGTCTACACTCTACCTACAGTCTACACTCTACCTACAATCTACAATCTACCTACAGTCTACAATCTACCTACAGTCTAAAATCCTTAAATTATGCAAAGAAATATCGATTTTAAGGCAGGCAGACATTTTTCAGACTTTCCAATTTCCGGCATTGCGAAATATTGTAATTAATTATTTATGGATACTGACCCACACCACACGAACATTTTATTCCAACTAGGCAAGAAAAGCGTAAAATGTCATTTATTAAAAGATTTTGAACTTAAAATTCTTTTTAATGTCAACCATAATAAGAATGCCATTGTTTTACTTTTACTCTGTATGTTTTCTTTTAAATTTATGAAGCTTAATTTTACTTCGAAATCTAAATATACATTTTTAAAAATCTGTTTTGAAATAGTAAAATTGGATCTAATTATATGTATCTAATAATTCCAAAGAAAAAAAATAAAAAACATTTGTGATTTTGCAGCAAACAGAAAGACACTTGTCCACTTAATTATTTTTTTATTTAGTAAAAACGTAAGATCTAAATGCTTTTCTGTAGTCTTAGTTTTTATTGTTTTTTTATTTAGTCTCTAAAAGTGATTTACATATGTTAAGAGAAATTCCGAAGAAAAAATTGTTTTAGTCTCGAAAGCCTCAACAATTAGAGAGCTGGGAATTACTGTATTTTGTATCCAGCTAAGCCAAGCTTTTTTCATTATAAATTTGAAATTTCAGTTTAATCAGCCCCCCCCCTTCCCCGACCATAAATTAAATACTGTGTATGCTCTGCTTTTTGAGACTTGTGATTTAATACATTTTAAATCTTGTATTATAAATATTATGACTAATGAATAAAAATTTCTTTTTTTAATTCAAAAAATAAAAGTTCACGTAAATAGACGTTACAAATTAATAAAAATCTATATGAATAAACGTTGCAAATAAATAAAATTTTATGTAAATTTTACAGATGAATAAAATTACTTGTGTGTTTCAGGCAGAAATGATCTGAAGTATATAAGTTCATTAAAGCTTGTAAAATAAATTATTAAAATATTTGTCTCTTTAATTACAATTTATGTAAAAGTTACAAATAAATAAATCTTCAAATCTGTATTTGTGTGCACGCAGGCAGAAGATAGCCCGGCCCGGCTATTACAGGTATTTGGGGGGTCGGCCTAGCAGGCAGGTACAGGCAGGTCAGCATAGCTGGCAGGTACAGACAGGTTGGCCTGGCCTAGGTACAGGCAGGTGTGTCTAGCTGGCAGGTACAGGCACTTCGGCCTAACTGGCAGGTTGCCAGGTAAAGAAAATCATGATACGAAATGTATGTATTTGGAGGGGGAGGGGGGTATTAGGGGAGAGAGGTACAGCGGGACCCGGAAAACTGTAGAAAAGAAGGACGACTGTTAGTCTTACGTTTTGAATTTAAATATTCCATTGAACATAAAAAACAGCCATTTCTTTGAAACAATATCAAATACACATACGATTGTTTACATGTCGTGTTCCAATTCCACAGTTTTAAGAGTTCTATTGTTAGAAAAGATTTAAGAAATATTGTTCACTTGAAAACTAAATTATTGTCCGTGTTAGGACCTCGTCACCACTTATCAAACTTTATTGATTCAGACTTTATTATTATTCTACAATAAACTTAATTTACATTCCTCGAAATCATTTAACAAGAGTTAGACACTTAGTCACTGAACGCTAAAATTGCAAACATATATTTAACATGATTTGAATACAGAGAAGAGATTTTAAGTTTCAGAACGGACACGAGACAGGTGACAGGGGAAGAATGTTAATTGATGATTAAGACAGGGTGAGGGAACGAAATAGAGGAATGTACATTTCTTGACACGGTGTCCGAAAAAAAACACAACAAAAATACTTCATTTCTAAGTTAAATGGATAGACTTGTATAGTGAAAACTTGAGGCAAAGTTGGGTTCCCCAGCTAGTAGCTAGATCAAATGTAGAGGAAAATATGGAAAAAGTTCTTTCCTATATTATTCTTTATAACATTGTACGTATTTCATAACTTGCCAAAGAAATAATATAGTGGTTTCCAAACAAAAGTCGTATGATTGGCGTCTTCGTAAACCAGTTTTCTGGTTGCCACTGCATCTAAGGATATTTTGACTGTAGAAAACAGGCAGACTACATTTAGGAATAATCAGTTTAACAATCAGATAAAAGAAGACGATTTAAAGACGATAAATAGAGAGTTTCTTTACATCACACATTTTTTTTAATGTTAAAATCAAGCATTGATCTCCATTTTCTGCAGACCTACGTATTAATTTAATTCCTTTTCAAAATCGTTTGGTGTTAAAACCCTGCAGGGATAACTTTGATTTAGAGATCAAGAAATGATCATCAAATTTACTGCACACATTGGATCATCGAGATCAAGCGTTAAAGATTAACAATCCTCCACAGTCCACACTATAGTTCCTTAAATTACTTTAAACAATAATCCTGGGATTTCTAAATTGTGATCATCAAAGTCAGAATGAAACATTGCTGTCTGTCCCGTTGTCATCTTGTTTAACAATTCAAAATTTGAAAACCCATTTAGGTATATCTCAGTCAGTTTTAACGACAAGTAAATGGCAGACCACAATTTGGAAATTCCTTGACTAGTGGTAATTTACTGCAATAATACAAGATTTTATTAATTGCCGAGCAGATCTAAGAAAATTAAGGACTATCGTTTCAGTTTCAATTACGTCAATAGCCATCTCTTTTGGGACACAATCCTCCAAGATATAATTACTTATCTAGGGTTTATTTCAAGATTTCCTTTAAACGGAAACAGGGTATATCCCATGAACGTAGAAATGGCATTTTACTCTTCAAAACTAGATTTTATTTCAAAATCAAATTTCAAGATCAAAAAAAGTGGAAATTACACTGATTAATGCTATGTATGTTGATGTGTAGGTATAAATTATCTTTTTAAGGAAACCATAGATATATGAATAAATAGAAAATTCATGTATACAGTCGTCTTCGATCAATGCGGCATTTTTTTAATAAATACAATTATTCCAACCCATTCCAGTTGAAACATCTTTTATCGAAATTGCCTGGGTCTAGAAATGGTCTAGAATTTTTTGTATCTTCCAAATTAACGAAGATATTGAAAATTTTTACAAATCTAAATTTATTTAATAAATCAAAGTTGTCTTAATATCTAATATCTTAGTCAATTTTTAAGACACAAGAAAGGTCTAGACCA